ATAATATTGCGTATACGCAGCGTTTGCCAGTGACGAACTGCCTCCGGGGGCCAAAGCAAACACTGTAAGTGAAACGGGTATAAAAATATAGCCTGGCTGAATGGTACAAAGGGGCCAAAAGTTTTCCATTCAAGTTGCAATTAGCTGTCCCGAGGAGCCTTAGAAATCCGGAAACAGACAATGACAAGTGGAAAAACAAGGTCTAAACTTTGACAGCCAACAGAATCTCAGTTGATTGACTTTCTGTTGGCAGAAAGCCGAGCTCAAGGCACTTTTGGGAAACATTTCTGCACTCCATGCTCCACGCCACTCCACTCCAATCATGCAGGAAGAGAAAATTAAATTTTTATTCTAGCTTAATTTTGCATTTTCGTGGCAAATTCAATTGCAGCTGCTGCCGTTCCCACTTCCTGTTGCACTTTGTTACTCTGCAGCAGTAGCAGATCCACCCCAACTGCATTCTTTTGCTTCGTTTCAATTAGATACCAACTCCGCCATCTTTCCTCGCTGGCTGCAAAAGTTTATGCAAGAATTTCCCCCGTATCTGTGCAAAAGTCTGTGCCAAGCCCAGCAACAAAAAAACAAAACAAAAACAGAAGCTGAAACAGCAGCCGAAAATACTTATTTCACGAAAATAAACGAAACGGGGACTGCAAATATATAGAGGGCAAAAAAAGGGAAACAAAAAGCCAGGGAACGGAAATGAAATTGCAATTGCTGGCCCACACAGACGACGCCAAGTCGCGAATCGTTGATGCGCAGCGGGGGAGGGTGTCGGAGAAAGCCAAGTTTGCATTGCTTTTGCATGTTCTTCGCTGTTTCTTTTGCTGTTGCCTCTTTTGGCTTGACTTGCAATGCCATTTCCGCCACGGTCTCATATTGCGTCCTCGCGTATGCAATAAACTTTGCTCAGCGGCAGCGACAGTGCAAGAAAAGAACACAGATAGATACAAAACGATTTTTCCAACTTTTCATTACCTTCATTCGATTAATAAATCGATTTCCCATACAGTAACCCAAAAAAGTTACCCCGAACGGAGCCTTTGGAACATTAACTTGAATAATTTGGTAGCATTTCATAATGATTCATTAAATTCTGCTTTCTTATTTTTATTTATTTATCTTCAGTTAAATGTAGTTTTTTTTCTGTTCTGCTTTCAACTATCTTAATGAATTTAAAAATGTTCGAAAATGGTATTTTTTGAATTCATTCGGTTTAAGATACGTTACCTATGACTGAATGTATAACATTTCTTAAGCTAACTTTATTTAGCAAGTGTTACCATTGCCTAATCTTGAATCAGAACTTTTAGTATTTAGATTAACTTATGAGAGTTTGCAGTATAAAGTCAAATTATAAGCAATTAGTCGCCAAACTCCATTTTTTAACTACCTCTATGTATATAAATAAATTTGTTTAAGTAGAAGTTGTCGTTAAGCACGAGAGACTGTATGTGAAACTAGATGCTTAAATCCCGAGAGCCATTACCAACGCCAAAACCCCACTTTCACCCATGGCCGCAAGGGCTTAATCAGGCGCAACTTTTTAGAAGAATTTGGCTGGGGTTTCCCGCTCCTAATGTCGCACCCGCACAAACGAGCACTAGCTGCAAACACAGGAGCTCATTAGTTGGGCGGCAGTGGCGCTTAAACTTAAGCTGCGAGCGTAGAAATTGCGCAGCTTTGGCGCTAAACAAGTTAATTAGTTTGCCTCTCTTTTTTCCGCAATGGCTGGAGTTGAGCTTAACGACAAAATAAATTATTTGCCGCACACACATAAGCGCCATGGAGACTTCAATTGACTTTATTAAGCGTGTGAGTGCGTGTGGGCGGGCGTGCTTGCGCTTTAATGACACTTTTCAGTCAGCTGCCGTCGCAACAGGACGTGGTTCTAACCCACGTTTATTATCCTTGGAACAGGAAGCTCACTCCGGCGCGGTGTACAATGGAGGGATGTGTGTGCAGAGTGGCAAATGAGTTCTCGTCTACCGCCTGACTTTGATCTACGGCATATTAATCTCCACTCTGCCAGCTCCAAGGCCTCTTACTCTTTTTCATTTTCTTAATTTAAAATCATTTTTCAAGTGCCAATGGAAAACTTCTGCCTGGTCACCTGCGCGGCCCACTGTGCAGCTGTGGCGACATTAGAGAACAAATGCGGCGGCAATTGCCTTTGTGTCACATAAAAACACTTTGTTGTCCCCAGCCAAATATATTCACTACATATACTCATTGCGCAGCGGATATACAGCTGAGGTCGAAATAATAGCCCTAAAGACTCCTTCCGAGAATTTTAATAAAAATAAATACCATAGTATGAGCTTGCATGACAAAAGCTTCATCTTTAGATATGAAATGATCTGAGGTCAGTAAAGTATTAATTTTGTCTTTATATTTGTTAAGTTTTTGTAATATAATACATACAAATATTACTCTTGTAACACTAATAAATTGGGATTTCTTTACTTTATTTTACCAATTGCAAAAATGTGATTGTTGCAGATTAATACTTGTATATATGTAAATCTAGTACGATGTTATAATGTTAGTAAATAATGCGATTTATTAATTATTCATGTTCTTAAGTGGAATACAGGGTCTTTGCTTTGGCCACAACTGTACTTGAGGAGAAGGCATCACAGATACAAGCCTAAGCTCGTTTAATCTTGGATTTTAATTGCACGGTCATAATGTTGGAAGGCTCCCATTTGAGTACATCGAGCCGCAGCAGTCACAAGTAAATTGAATTTAATTAGGAACGAGTTTTTTATTGTGATTGTTGGGTTTTATTCGTCATAAACTTCGGCCGACAATAAAAAATCGAGGCTGCTGCCAAATGCAAACGCTCACATTTTCCTGGGGCAATAAAGGAATCCTTAAAGGCCCAGAAACTTCTGGAGGCCCTAATTAGTGTGAGTGGGCCATTAAGAATTTGCTCAGGTTCGACTTAAAGTTTGCATCGAGTGTGGGGCAAAGAAATTAAAATTGAAATGTAAAAGTTGCCAAACTTTTTCGCCTACCTTCCAAAAACACACACACACATTATGGGCGTTGGTGGAAATTTAAAATGCAAAGCAGAACGCCATGGAAAAGCGGAGGGGAAAAGGGAACCCAGAACCTAGAACTTGCTTCAAGTGGGTTCGTGGCAGGTGGGCTGCAAAAACTTGCTGCATTAAGTGCACTCAGCGATGAGCAGACAGAAGGCGATGGAGGGCGAAAAAAAAGGTGAGCGGGCTGAACTGAGCTGTGCTGCCAACTGCCGCCAGCTCATTAAAAGTAAAAATGATATGCATTAAGTTGCCAGCGGTAACGAGAGCGTTAAAGGGCTGGACCTGGTCTGGACTCATTATGCCAAACTGGTGCCACTAATGGTCAGTGTTAATTGCGTGGAAAGCATTTGGAATGCACTGCCAAGCCCCAACCCACCCAAAGGCCACCCCACGTAACTGACATTCGCCTGATAAATTGTCATAATTCGGGGCCGCACAAAGGACAAGGTATCCCGCTGGACTGCCATCAATACATATTTCATTGCCCTGACACATGCATTAACATGTCTAATCGGCACGCAGGGGTCACAGTTGCAGCCAGGACACAACTGGCCAAAGAGGGGGGTGTAGAAGGGGTCCTTTTGAAGGCACATAGCCATTATTCATTCTGCGGCCCCAGCATAATTTATTGCCCATGGCACCACTCACATGTCAGACATTCCGAAGTGCTGCCCAACTGACAATTTGCAGAGACTGACATGCAGCAGTTTAGCCCATGACCCCTCACTCGCTCGTTCGCAGGTGGCGGGCTTTAAAATTTATTTTGTTTGACTAACTGACAAAACTCACTCCCACCTGTCTCGTCAGCTTGGCAGCAGTGTCTCACCAACTCGCCGTCACATCGATGACAGTCCCCACTCCGGCGGGAACACAGGGCGTATGCGCTATTCGCCCGCACAGGAAAGCGACGAAATGTGTTTCTTGTAGATCCCGATTCCCTGCAATTAGGAGTCCTATTGGACAAACTCAATGCGGTCGAGCAGCAGATTCGGAGTGTGGTCGAGGTCCCAGTTGCCGCATAAACCGACTATCCGTCGCCCCAGGACAAGCGCCAGCCATGATTTTGAGTCCCGTACAGTGGAGATTAGAATGTCAGTCAGATTAGTGTTGAAATTAAAATCTCTTAGTGGTTTAAGTATAAAGGTGGACTATTTAATATGGAATTCTTTAAGCTGATTTGTCTTAGGCAACCCCTTATGGAATTTTATAGAATTATTATTTATTTATTATTATTATTTATTATAATCGCAAGTGTGTAGTTAATTTATTGACTGCCTCCCTGGAAATTGCCGAGCGAATGTGGATGACTGCTGCAAAGAACATGGGAACCACATTTTCCTGTATGCCGCCACTAAGCTGCGTCAGATTTAGCGAGTTCACGTCGCCCAAATGGATACGAAGATTTTCCTTCAAACCCTTGGCTCACAACGATTAAACCCCATTAGCTTACTTAGAAAATGGGTCAAAGTAAGGGCAGTTGCCATCAGTACTTGATTTTTCACTTAAAACAAAAAAAATATTGATACAAATAAAATATAAGTATAAAACCAATATAAGCCCTTCAATGCTTTTTTTTCATAGAGTTTTTTTTTTAATTCCTAGACCAGAAAGTGCGTTCAGCTGAGAAAACGCAAAAGGTTTCACTGGGACCGACCACACCTTTGTCTAGACCGACCACACGTTCATTTCCTTGAAGTAATCGGTTTGTACCAACGCCTGCATTCGAGGTTTCTTTGCAATTTCCTTGTCGAGCACATCGGTAATGTTAACAGTTGGCCGGGGTTGATAACCTTCCCAAATCAAAGTTCTAAAGGCTTTGAGGTGTTATCTAAAAAAATGATGAATTCCATTATGAAGAATTGTAAAATAAATATGTACCGAAATAAAAAAAAGAATTTTTTTTTTATCATTATGATGTTTTGTTAAACACTTCTATCTTTTTTTTATTACTTTTCAAATTATTTCACCCAAAGTTTAATTCACTTAAGATAAGATATGTAAGGTTATTTGAAGTAGTTATGCTTTAGTAAAGAAGTTCAGTTTTATTTTATTAAGATAAGAGCATCGGTTAGACTTCAGTAAGATTTTGGATAATCTTCTTGTATACCTGGATGCCATTTAAATAATCATCAGCCCTCAAAAATTCATCATGATCATGTATTAGTACTGGAGTATTTATGATGGGTGAGAAACCAATTGCCGGTGTTCCTTGCTGACGAATAAATCGGCTGTCTGTGACTCCAAAGCAGACAATCGGTTTTATTTTTAGTTTCCTAAGAAAACATGGAAATAATATAAAATCTAATTTTAAAAGCAGAAGCTACTCACAGTTCATCAATAGCGGCTTTCAAAGCCAACCAATAGGGGTTCGAATCATCAAGCTTGGTGGGTGCCACATAAGCATCTTTCTGGGGGAACTCGATCTCAATGCCACCACCTGCCTGCTCGCACCAGTCGCGGATTTGCTTCTCGAAAGCAACCAAATCCAAGGTGATGGACAGTCGCATATCGAAGATGGCCTCCAAAAGCGGTGGAACCACATTGCTCTGCACTCCGCCACTCAATTGGGTGAGATTCACGGTGGTCACATCACCAATGTTGATGCTCTTGTCGTTTATCAGCCACTGAACCTGCGATTCACGGAACTCCGACAGCTTGTTCAACACATAGTTTAACTTTACTCCGGCGGTATTGGCCAACAATAGAGAACCATGGCCAGCAGTTCCACCAATTTTCAATTTGAGAACTGAATAAGGCGAAGAAGGCTTAGTTATTTGATAGTAAACCTGTAAAAACTACATACCCCATCGTATACGTTCCGCGTAAAACAAATGATGAACATCAGTGGCACTAGTGCCTCCTTCATCCAAGCTGAATCCCACATTCATTTGCTTGTAGAAGTCGGTTTTAACGAACTCTGCCATGCCAAGACTACCTCCAATCTCCTCGTCGGGAACAAAGGTCACGTAAACAGTCCTTTTAGGTTGAAAGCCACTGGCCTTGAGCAGGCGAATAGCACCCAGATATTGAGTGCCAACCGATTTCATGTCCTGAGTACCCCTCGCAAATATCCTGCCCTCCTCATCAAGATCGGCGGAAAAGGGTTCATGAGTCCATTTTTCAGGAAACACGGGAACCACGTCCATATGGGAGTTTAAAATGATCGAGGGCAGCTCGGGATGTTTTCCCAGCCACTTAATGATCACCACAGGCTTTGATTCAACAGCTGGATAAACCACTTCTACGGGAAGATCAAGGGAGTCGGCTTGGCGCTTGATAAAATCCACACAGCCAGCTGCAAATAATACGAACTTAATACACATTTAAAACTTTGTTTAATAAAGTCCTTACTGTAATTAATATCCGGGTGCACTGATGGAATACGTAAATATTCTCGAAATATTTTAATTTCCTCATTGTTCTCCCATTTCTCAACACTCATTTTGGGTAAAGGATTCTACAGCAATGGGAACACAGAAAGTAAGAGTGGTAAACTGCGAGTAAGATTCCCACCAGCCACGCGCTGGCCTTATATACTGATAGATCGTTCCACTTAATAGTAATCACTATTAAAACACAATAGAATGTGTGATATCTTCTTATCACTCTAAGCTTCGAAGTAATGAACTGGATGTAATAAAATCTCTTTACTTTTGATAAGATAATTCCCAAGAATAAGACCATATCTACTTTGATAATTATCCGCGTTGCATATAAAATGATTTTATTAGACTTCAGCCAGGTTTTGAATAATTTTTTTGTACACTTGTATGCCATTTAAATAGACGTCAGCCTGCAGAAACTCATCGTGGTCGTGGATCCGCATGGTGGTGTTAATAATGGGTGAAAATCCAATTGCCGGGGTTCCATTCTTCCGAATATATCGACTGTCGGTGGCACCGGGGCAAACAATGGGATGTATCTTCAAGCCACTAGAAAACATTGGGTTATTTTATATTATGAAAGCCAATATGCAATTTAAATGGTGCTTACAGTTCATCGATCGCCGTTTTGACAGCCAACCAGTATGGGTTTGACTCATCCAGCTTGGTGGGCCCAATAAATGGTTCCTTCCGGAAGAAATCAATGTCGATGCCACCACCGGCTTCCTCGCACCAGTCGCGAATCTGCTTCTCGAAGGCAACCACATCCACAGTGATGGCAATGCGCATGTCGAAGACCGCCTCGAAAAGCGGTGGCACCACATTGCTCTGCACTCCACCACTTAATTGGGTGAGATTCACTGTGGTCACATCGCCGAAGCTGAGGCTAGTGTCCTTCGCCAGGCTATCCACCTGCGAGGTGCGAAACACCGTCAGTTTATTCAGCACATAGTTCAGCTTCACGCCGGCAGTGTTTGGCAGCAGCAGCGATCCATGGCCAGAAGTTCCGCTGACCTTCAACCGGAGCCCTGCAAGAGTTAGGCGCGTTAATCAGATGCTAATCCAACATAGGAGCACTTACCCCATCGCAAACGTTCGGCGAAGAACAAATGGTGCACATCACTCGCGCTAGTGGCGCCTTCGTCCAGGCTGAACCCCACGTTCATTTGCTTGTAGTAATCCGTTTTAACGAACTCCGCCATGCCCAACTCTCCCCCGGTCTCTTCATCGGGAACAAAGGTTACGTACAAAGTGCGTTTGGGCTGGAATCCACTGGCCTTGAGCAGGCGAATAGCTCCCAGATATTGAGTGCCCACCGACTTCATGTCCTGCGTACCCCTTGCAAAGATCCTGCCCTCCTCATCTATATCCGCGGCGAAGGGATCGTGTGTCCACTTGTCACGAAATACGGGAACCACGTCCGTGTGGGAGTTAAGAATAATCGAGGACAGTTCCGGCTGACTTCCTAGCCACTTAATGATCACCACGGGCTTTGTTTGAACCGCTGGATAAACCACCTCCACGGGAAGATTTAAGGAGCTAGCCTGACGTTGAAGAAACTCCACACAAGCGGCTAAAAACGTTTTGGTTTTAATAAACAAATGTTTTTAGGGTTTAAAGCAATTAAAATTGAACCTTACTGTAATCAACATCTGGGTGTACAGTTGGAATACGCAAGTATTCCCGGAAAATTTTAATTTCGTCATTGTTTTCCCACTTTTCAGAACTCATTTTCAAGATATGTTAATTCAGTTAGAGATAAATAGAAAATGAGCTGCATTAGATTTTCACTGGGGTTTTATAGTCGCCTAGTCTTCGCTTAAGGTTTATGGTCAACACATTTAAATGCTTATCACTTGTTGTTGCACGCTACAATAACGCTTTATCAGCAAAAAAAAATTAACAATCTCTTTCCAAAAAAGTGACTACATTTCCACTAGCTCTAGGTCTACATTTCTATTAGCCACACGGAAAATGATTTTTGTGGTTCTTCGAAACTGAAGAACAATGGGTTAACCCTATAAAAAAATATACCAGTAAAAAACTGAAATTTGTAAGGAAAAGGAAAGAAAAATGTATAAGCAACCAAAAAAAGCAATTGTTAAACATACATTAGGTCAGTGTATTAATTCTGATAGCACCAAATAGTTTCCATCAATTTGAAAATACAAAAAGTTCCTGCATTTTTGATTGATGGCCTTCGTTGTTAACTAATCAAGTGATTATTGTAGCTTTAATGGATTCACAACGTTCCAGCTTGTTATCTTTATTTATATAGATATCTTTTCACCATTATCTTCCTGCTGTCAAAAGGATAACAAGTCGTGTTTTTATTAGATACAACAAGATATCAAGCTGTGAAAACATATTCGTTTAATTCAGGGCAGATAAGATAAGAAAACTAGGAATTTTTGTATCAACTTATAACCAAATGATCAATCTTTATTTTGATAAGGCTCTCATGTATTAATTCGAATTAATTTTCAGACTTCGGCCAGGTTTCCCAAAATTTTCTTGTATATTTGAATGCCCTTCAAATAAGTATCGGCTCCCAAATATTCGTCGTGATCATGGATGCGCATGGTGGTATTTTTAATGGGGGAGAATCCCAAGGCCGGGATGCCCTGTGCCCGAATATTCCTGCTGTCCGTGGCACCGGGACACACAATGGGGTAGATTTTAAGGCCGCTGCAATATAGTTTGGTTAGGAATCGGTGGTATAGGGTACTAAATTTAGTCTTACAGCTCATCAGTAGCCGCCTTGAAGGCGAGCCAGAACGGGTTCGAGTCGTCGATCTTTGTGGGTGCCACATAGGGCTCCTTCTCGTCGAAGGAGATCTCAATGCCGCCACCTGCCTCCTCGCACCAATCGTGGATCTGCTTCTCAAAGGCAACCACATCTAGGGTGATGGACAGACGCATGTCGAAGACCGCCTCAAAGTGAGGGGGCACCACGTTGCTCTGCACTCCGCCACTCAGCTGAGTAAGATTGATGGTGGTCACATCACCGATGTTTATGGTCTGATCCCTTGCCAATCGCTGGACCTGCGATTCACGGAACTCCGTCAGCTTGTTCAGCACGTAGTTCAGTTTCACGCCGGCAGTGCTGGGTAGCAGCATCGAACCGTGTCCGGAGGTTCCGCTGAAGTTCAGTTTGAGTCCTGCAGAAAGGGTTACATTTTAGTTTTCCCTCTGATGTGGATGACAAGGTCCACTCACCCCATCGCATACGCTCGGCGTAGAACACATAGAACAGGTCTACTTCGCTGGTGCCGCCCTCATCAAGACTAAAACCCACATTCATGTTGCTATAGTACTCGGTTTTAACGAACTCCTGCATGCCCAACTCGCCGCCGATCTCCTCATCGGGCACAAAGGTCACGAAAATATTGCGCTTGGGCTGGACACCACTGGCCTTGAGCAGACGAATGGCACCCAGGTATCCTGTGCCCACGGACTTCATGTCCTGCGTACCCCTGGCAAAGATCCTGCCCTCGTCATCTATATCGGCGGCAAAGGGATCGTGGGTCCATTTGTCGCGAAACACTGGCACCACATCCATGTGGGAGTTTAGAATGATGGAGGGCAGTTCCGGTTCGGTTCCCAGCCATTTGATGATCACCACTGGCTTTCCCTCCACCGGATGTATGACGTCCACTGGGAGATCGAGGCTGTGGGCCTGACGCTTCAGGAACTCCACGCACTCGGCTGAAAGTTTAAATATACTTGAGTATGACTTCTAACGATCCTCCAGAGCAGCCTTACTGTAATCCACATCTGGTTGCACCGTCGCTATACGCAAGTATTCCCGGAATATTTTGATTTCCTCGTTGTCTTCCCACTTTTCCGTGCTCATTTTGTGACGATGTTTTCTCGGCCAGTTACCAAACTTGAATGTGGGACCATTGGCAAGAAACGAGCTTATACAGTTATTTTCGTGTTCATAATTTCGATTTTATGGCCTTCATTTTTAATTATTATCAAATAATGAGTGCGTTATCAAACGCAAAATGATAACAGAACTTATTCTTGTACAAACCTCTACCAAAACCAATGTCTGATAGCAAACAGTAGCCACATTCGATATAGTCCAAATAAATACCACAGAAGCTCCACTCACCGATTATTATATACCCTTAAAGTTATAAAGTAATCTACAATTGTTTTTGTTGTGTTACTAGTTAATGAGTTCTGTCTTGGTGAATGAAATAAAAAAAAGGTATTTATTTTGTTCAACATAATAAAACAACTATAAAAAGACTTTTAAAGAAATATAATGAAATAAAAAACATGACGCAGAATTGGTTGTTACTTTTAGATTATACAATCTAAAAGAATGACGGTTTATTGGATATTATTTAAGGTCAAAGTCCACAATAAATTAAGCTACACGGAAATTTTTGCTATCAGTGTTTTACTGTTATTTGTATTTAAGCAGATATGATTTGAAGTAATCAGAAAATTTATACATTTCACATCGGCCTTACACTCATCGATTTCAAACATTACTCATAATGATAAGACCAATCAAAACATATTATTTCCATTTTTGAATCATCAGAATATAGTTTCAGTTGAACAGTTTATGAATCAGCAACTGCCGGGATAAGCTTCTTATACACTTGAATGCCGTGCAGATAGGTGTCGGCGTGCAAATACTCATCATGATTGTGCAGCAGCACAGGAGTATTGTTGATGGGGGAAAACCCCAGAGCAGGAATGCCTAGCTGCCGGACGTAATAACTATCGGTGGCGCCGGCGAAAACTCGAAGGTGGGTTTTCAAGCCGCTGCAATTCCATAATCATTAGATATGAAGACTATAAGCCCTGCAAACTCACAGTTCATCCAGGCCCTGTTTGAAGGCCAACCAGTAGGGATTGGAACCGTCTACCTTTGTCTCCACATGGGGACACTTTAGAATGAAATCCAGTTCAAGTCCACCTCCAGCCTCCTCACCCCAGGCGCGAATCTTCCTCTCCAGCTCATCCACGTCCTGGGTGATGGCGATGCGAATATCGAAAATTGCTTCCAGCACAGGCGGAACCACATTGCTTTGGATTCCTCCTCCAAGTTGGGTCAAATTCAGAGTGGTCACATCACCGATATCCAAGGAGGAATTCTTTGCCAACAGCTGTACCTGAGTTTCCCGGAACATCATCAGCTTTTCCAACACAAACTGGAACTTTTCGCCAGCTGTTTTATTGTGCAGCAGCGATCCATGGCCTGAAGTGCCATTGAATTTTAAACGGAGATCTGTGAAATTTTAAGATTACAAAGTAATTATAGCTCATAGTAAATATAGAGCACTTACGCCACAGTGTGCGCTCTGCGTAAAAGACTGGATAAAAATCATCTTCACTGGCGATGCCCTCGTCCAGGCTGAAACCCACATTCATGGCCCTGAAGTAATCGCCTTTCACAAATTCGGCCATGCCCATGTCTCCGCCAGTTTCCTCGTCGGGCACAAACGTCAGATACACAGTTCTCTTGGGCTGATAGCCACTAGATTTAAGGGCACGGATGGCAGCCAGATACTGGCATCCCACGGACTTCATGTCCTGCGTACCACGTGCATAAATCCGGCCTTCGGCGTCTATGTCAGCGCCAAAGGGGTCATGGGTCCAATTCTCGGCAAACACGGGGACCACGTCCATGTGCGAGTTCAAAATAATCGATGGCAGTTCGGGACTCTTCCCCAGCCACTTCATAATCACCACCGGTTTCGATGGCAGGACAGGATGGATCACATCCACCGGTAGGTCCAGGTTGCCAGCCTGGAGCTTTAGAAACTCCACACACGCAGCTACAAAGGGAATTTATATACAAAAAAAGTACTGGCTGTATTAAAGAAATCCTCACTATAGTCAATATCTGGATGGACTGTGGGTATACGTAAATACTCCTGGAAAATTTTAATTTCCTCGTCGTTAGTCCACTTTTCCGGGCTCTGCATTTTGAGTTGAGTGGCCTGCTGTTGTAAAGAGACTGAGTTCTAGTCCGCGACGTTGTTTGGTTTTAGGTCTGAGTGTGGTTTGAATTTATGGGATTATTAGTTGTTGACTCTAAGCTACTTGATTGTAAACGCTAGCAGTTTGCGGCCTTTCAACTTCGCGTGCACACCATCTTATATTATCTAAAAACCTTAAGGCAGTAGATGGATTTCAAAGTGTATTCCAAAATTAACTCGACTAGGCTGCGTAGTGAAAGAGACTTTTCCAACCCTATAAAGTATTATTTATCAAACAGCTGTCATAATCGGAAAAATAACTGAAAAAATAATAACTTTTGTTGTTTTTAAACATATGGTATATTGTTTTAATTTTGTAAAACTATAATATAGTTGCTTTCTATCTTGTTCTTGTTTTTATCATTTACCCGGTCTAATAAAAAGGTGAAGTTGACATATTTCGTTTTAAAAATGTTTTTATTTACATGCTTAAACAAAGTTCTTCAAACATTAATATATGAGAAACAATTTAAAAAATGCTTAATTTCATTATTTTAACGCTGGAATCAGTTCACTAAGCATCGGCTACTGCGGGAATAAGCTTCTTGTAGACCTCAATGCCATGCAAATAGGTGTCGGCTTTCAGGAATTCATCGTGGTCGTGCAGCAGGATGGGAGTGTTGTTGATTGGCGAGAAACCCAGAGCTGGAATGCCTGCGTAGCGCACATAGCGACTGTCCGTGGCACCGGGGAAAACTCGAACCCGTGTCTTAAGGCCACTGCAAGAAATATAAATGGATTACATCAAGGCTATGTCTTTTGTTAGAGGACTTCATCCTTACAGGTCATCGAGAGCCTTCTTGAAGGCCACCCAGTAGGCATTTGATGAGTCAATCTTTGTTGGCTCCACAAAGGGATTTTTCATCTCGAACTCCAGCTCAATGCCGCCACCGGCCTCCTCGCACCAGTCGCGAACCTGCTTCTCGAAGGCTGCGATGTCCACGGTGACGGCGATTCGGATGTCAAAGACAGCTTCCAGCAGTGGAGGAACCACATTGCTCTGCACTCCACCCCTCAGTTGGGTGAGATTCACTGTGGTCACATCGCCAATTTCGAGCGAAGAGTCGTCAGCCAGCTTCTGCACCTGTGATTTACGGAATTCCATCAGCTTGCCCACCACATAGTTCAGCTTCTCGCCAGCCGTATTGGGCAGCAACAGAGATCCATGTCCAGCAGTGCCACTAAACTTGAAACGGAGATCTGTGGAAGAACATAAAGTATTAAAGAAATACAAAAACATTAACCTGCTTTTTAAAATCATTAGAAGACTTAATAGATTTTAAACATATTATAAATGTTTTTAAAGCAATACTGATTGTAAAATGTAATGACAAATTTGATGATTTGTTATCCAATTGTCAACGGTATGCTTACGCCACAGAGTTCTTTCGGCATAGTACAAGGCATATGTGTCGTCCTCGCTGGAGATGCCCTCGTCGAAGCTAAATCCCACGTTGAGCTTCTTGAAGTAGTCGCTCTTCACCAGCTCCCGCATGCCCAGGTGGCCGCCCACCTCCTCATCCGGAACGAAAGTGAGGTAAATGGTCCGCTTGGGCTGATATCCACTGGCCTTGAGGGCTCGAACTGCTCCCAGATACTGGGTGCCCACGCACTTCATGTCCTGCGATCCTCTGGCGAAGATCCGACCCTCTGCATCCAGGTCCGCGCTGAAGGGACCATGGGTCCACTTCTCCTCGAAAACGGGCACCACATCCGTGTGCGAGTTGAGGATAATGGAGGGCAGTTCCGGCTGAGATCCCTGCCATTTCAGCACCACGACGGGGTTTTGCTCGTTCACGGGATAGATTACCTCCACGGGCAGTTCCAAGCTGGCCGCCTGGCGCTTCAAGAATTCCACACAGGCGGCTATAAATAGCAGACACATTTTATGACAAGGTCATAAAGATCGGGGCTCTTATCACAGCCTCATATAGATAAAAGCCACTTAAACTCACTGTAATCCACATTCGGATGCACCGTTGGTATGCGAAGATATTCGCGAAAGATCTTGATCTCCTCATTGTTCTCCCACTTTGCGGCACACATTTTAATCTGATTAAATAGGAATTTAGCCGGTTGATAATTAATCTATTAATATTGTTTGTCCAAACAAAGATCTTCAATCAGCTGGTCTGCAGTTCACCACGGCAGAGCGTAGAAACTCACCTTTCTTAACACTGGAACGTCGACGACTGTGCGATCGTGGGGAGAAGCGCGCGTTTAAATATCAGAGATAAAGGGAGAAAGAGAGGGAATCGCATTGAAGCGTAACAGAAACCTAAATCTAATTTTCTTATCTTGCGGTTTTGTATTGTATTCTTTTTGGTGGCTAATCTAAATTTGTTTACATATGGCTTTAACCGCGAAATAGTGTCATTTGTTTTTTTATCATGGAAGTCTAGTGTTATTTCCATGTTGATCTAAATAAAAATTTCGAATATACATTTTTAGAAGCTAGTTCCAAGCAAAATCTAAATCACAATCGACATAGAACTATAATTTAACTGCTTTCCGAAAAATATGATTGATCAAATTCATCTTAATCTGAATTTCTAAGCCCTTTTGAAAAATTCCTATAGATACCCTTTATTGTTTAAACACGAAATAGCAACTCGCAACTCATTAAATTAATAAATATAATTCTGTGTGGCACCCAAATTGCTAGAGACACCAAGCGTTGGTAAATATTTTACCATCACTTTCCAGTACATGTAAACCCACTTTAAGGCTCATTTACTTGCGATTCCCCCTGGCTGATGGATTTATTTGCCTTAAAACGTTTGGGAAGTGCCTCGCATTGCTTTCGGTGCAACAGGATTGATGGTAGTGGCTCCATTTGGCCCGCAGCCAAGATTTCCGATTACTGATGAATCGCATGCAATCGCATTCCAATTCCAGTTGATTTGTTAATCAAGATGCGCTGCACACGTTCGCACCCACACGCCCAACGGGGTTCTCTGTAAACAAGTTGCCGGGCTTCGGGCTTTTCAGCCACTCCAAATTTCGCATATTAATAGTGTTGCTGTTGCACTTGCCAATGTTGCTGCAGTGCGACTGTTGTCCCTCTGTGTCAAAAGTTTGTTTTAGATTCAGATTTCACGCTTGTTTCTATACTGAACAAACCAGAACCATAGCCTGAGATTTGTGTTGCATGTACTCGGGGCCAAAGTTGATATTGTTTTAGTGTGTGTACTCACAAAAAGTCATTAAAAGTTCATTAACAATGTTGCTGGGATTTTAATGGCGCACCAGCAGCAATAACAGCAACTACGGCTACACATGTCTGCATTTTAAATAACAACCAGCCCCAATATTCGTACAAACTCCCCATTTACAGCGTCACATAAGTCAAATAAACACACAAACTTCCTGCAAACAAACACTAGTACATTCGTACTATGGGCAAAAAGGTAAATTCTTAGCAAAAATTTAATATTGTAAAGATTTATAAGAAGTAATCTTCTTAAAACCTAATTCTTAAAAATACAATTGATGAATATTGTGAATGTCTATTTCTATTAAACGTATATATGGGTAGTAAATATCAATCTAATTTTTAAATTTTTTGAAACATGGATACATTTAATTTATGTGTAAGAAGTGACTTTTTGCCCATGGTGAGCTGCGGGCGTGGCTGTTAGCTGATGTTGCTGTTGTACTGACATGTTGTCGCTGGGTAAATAAACTAAATGAAAATTTTGTATATTGTAACAATTATCCGGGCATCGCCGGCAACTGTTTGCGTTGAGCCCCCAGCTGTAGGAGCTCGAGGAAAGCCGGGTTTTGGGTGCCTCCTAATCCGTTATGAACGCATTACCTGTCCAAAAAAAGAGGGAACTGACATAATCCTGCGCTGCCATTTACCATATCCCTCTGCTCAGTGCGAGTATGGCCCTTTGTTCGAGTTTTGGCCCAAGCTTGACAAACTTTGGTAGTATGGAAATGGGGGCGGTTGTTGGATGGGGGCGGACTGACAGCTCAAGGACAATCCGGCGGGCATGCGTTTGCAGCTCCCGGAGAGCTTCAATTTGTGTGTCCCAGGCATTAGGTGAAAAAAGCGTTGAGCTCTCGGCAAGCACTTTAGCAAACTGCACTCACAGTCGTCGACATCGATATACAAAAAGAGCTGGCCAACAGTGCGTATGCGTGCTGCCTTCTGAGCGCACAAGGCAAAACTACTCGAAATGGTTTTTATTCACAACTTGTACAAATGTCATCAAAATGTGGAGCACTCGGGCTGCAAATTGGATGCACATCCATAAAGCTGCTGCAAAAATACTGCAAAATGTGTTTACATAATTAGCAGTCATAATTTAATTGATCGACATTTATCGCCTGATTGAAGATAATTATTACACATATTTAAAATAAAAATCCCCCAGCTTTAAAATTAATAGTTAAGCTTCGCAGTGCCCATAACTTAATGGCCTCGATTCCTGTTTGCTTTGGCAATTAATCCCATTCGGCGTTCAATTATGCAGCTACCAATAGCCTGATGCAATAAAGCAAATCAAATATTTATTTAGCTGTATGTCTGTCGGTGTATATTACAGTTTTGGTTGGATGCAATTTAGCCGGTGCAAATAATCAGCTTTGATTCTGCATAAATTAAATTGCATTCAAAATTGGAATGCCTCAATATCAAGTGGTTTTATGTAGGCATTCCAAATGAGACTCTTGCATAGATTGCATGTACTAAATTATATTTCGAACAAAAGTAATAATCAGCTTTATAATATGTCCTTGTCTTTCCACAATCTCGTTTACAAATATATTTAACCAGTGATTAAAGATTGAAATGTTTTATTAACTACTTAAGTTACCAGTAATAAGTGTGATATTTTTCATTGCTTTCACTATAACGGTACTGCATTACAAATGAAAATCTCTTAAAATTAGTAAAAAATATTCCAAACACGAATTAGAAGTTAACTTGTAACTAATTCTGCCTTGTGAATTTTTACGACTTCAGTGTCAGCTGACTAGAGTAAACTTCATTAATAGTTCTTCGTAATACTATTTGCTT